TTGAAGTAAAGGATATGGTAAATTCACTTGAATTTTTGTATAATTTTTTTGATAGAATTGATCTAATTTGCGTTTTATGCGATTGATGTTTGATGGATTATGGTTGTGTCTTTTTAATTTATGAGATGAATCATTGTTTACGTATTAACGTCTGACACAGATACGCATAATAACGTTTTTTTATTTAAATTAATATTAGTGTTGACGTATCATTGTTGATGTATATGCAAGTGATTCACCTGTTGGTGTTATGTATCTATGTTCAATATGCTAAAGTCCACACTGAGTTTGATTATGCCTTTTTTTTTTTGTTTATGCAGAGTTAAACAGTTCTATACAAAAACCGATTTCTGCATAGAAAATGGGATGTTTAACTGTCATTAAGAACATGAAGAAAAGGTATGAAAAATCCAAATCACAGAGTGGAAGTCGTAATGAGAAGTTATCTACAGTACTGCCTCAACTTCAAGCTTCTCGCTCATTACACTTCAATCCTCGAACTCCAAAGACTAGCGGGAAATCCCCTAACCCGGTTACCCGAGTTACCAACAACAGAACAAGAGCATTATCTGCTCCATCAGCTCTTGAAGCTGCAGAACAAGAAGCTCTGGCCTCAATTGAGCAAGAGGAAAGAGAAATGCCGAAAACTCTAGCGAGATTAATGTGGGAGACTCGTGTAGCTAGTCCAGTACCTACTCCACTACCCTTACCTCTTCCACCTCCTCCAAGAAGGGGTCCATCGAAGTTAAGGATGACTAGTGATCCTTTCTATGCTTCTGGCTCGGGTATTGATACAGCAGAACGAGATGGTTTTGAAACATTTCAGTATGAGGCGCGAAAATGGTCTAAAAAACGAGACAGATCCGTGAAGAAACCACATCCAGCTACAGCTACTCCACTACCTTTACCGCCTATAGGAAGATATCCATATAAGGCTACTACTAGCAGCTCTAAGTCGGGAACAGTTACTGATTCGGTTCGTTTCTTTCTGTATGAGGAAATTGTCGCTGCTTGTCACAATTTCCGTTGGGATAGATGCATGTCAGAATGTTTTTCTTACACCTTATATAAAGCTTCCTTTTTTCATGAAGCTTCATGTAAGAAGCTTAAAGCCACTGTCGCGCGCCTTCACCCATCAACTCAGGTACTTTTCTTCTTGCTACATTACTTTCCTATCTTCATAAATTTGAATGTTTTCAAACCATTTTGAAACCAAGAACTGAAATTGTTTTGTATTGCATCAAAACATGTTCAAATATAAGTATGAATTATGATTAGCCTTGTGTTCAAAGGTTTAAAACTTCGTCTTTGACAGTAAAAAGTTTTACATTTTCCGTCTCTGACCCGGTCTATATGAATGTATGTCATGCCATCTTTTAGGACTTGAGGGAGTTCATGAATGAGGTTAGTAGTCTCTCAAAATTGCAACACCCGAACATCTGTAAATTGCTCGGATTTTATGCAAGTGATACCTCTGAAACAAGGATGTTGGTTTATGAGAGGCTAAGCAATGGGAGCTTGGACAGACTGTTGTTCGGGAGATCTGACGGCTTTTCGATTGATTGGAACACAAGAATGAAAATCGCCTTCTCTGCTGCACAAGGTCTTAGTTTCTTGCATGAAGAAGGGCCTTTTAAGGTAATAAACATTCTCTGTATGCGGTGTTTAGATCTCATTAAGTGATTGCGATTGCGAGATGAGTTATGGTGTATTTATTGATATGGATTGAAAAAATATAGCATGGTTAGATATTATTTTAATGTTGTAGTACATTAGATTTCAAATTTTATGTTTAGTATGTTTCTAACTTTTCTGATACACCTTTAAATCTCTAGCAGGCGATGTATAATGATTTTTCGACAGCGAACATACAGATTGATTTAGATTTCAATGCAAAGCTTTCAGGATATGGATTTGTTGGACATAATGCTGAGGAGAGGTTTTCAAGAAGTTCATCTGTAAGTTCTTTGACTCATGCATAAGTGCATTGTGTGTGCCGGTATAGAACATTCACTTTCTACATCTATGTTTATTCCAATAGTTCTGTTTTCATTCTAAGTCGAACTTGGTGCAATGGTAAGGTTGTAGCCTTGTGACCAGTGTAGTCAAGATCAAGTGCTTGATCATAAGTTTGTAAGATAATACGTGCTAAGGATGTCTAAGAGTACTATGATCAGAGAAAAATCGTTTTCGTTGTTCGTATGGCCAAGATCGAATTTGTTTGAAGATCGTAAAAAATGTGCTGGGACTTTATATACCATTTTTTTCCCTTTGGTAGGATCTTACATGTTGTGCTAATAATCTGAGTTTTACGATCTTTCACCAGTCGACCGATCCCACTTAAGATCTCGTGTTTGACTACATTGCTTGTGACCCTTACCTAAAGGTCACGAGTGGGGGTAACACTGCTGCGTACATCTACCTTCCCCTTCCTAGACCTCATCCGGTGGGAGACTTTGCACTTAGCCGCGCTCTTTTAGTTTTGTTCACATTCATTCTTTTCATGTATACAGGCGGCAAGGAATCTTTCTGTGGAGACAATGAAAAAAGGAAAGCTTACTCCAAAGAGCAATGTATGGAGTTTTGGAGTTGTTCTTCTGGAGCTACTTACCGGAAGAAAGAATTTTGACCTAAATCTTCCCAAGAAAGATAGGAACTTAGTCAGATGGTGTCAGCCTTTCTTAGCCGACAACTTGTTTGTGATCATGGATTCTCAACTTGAAGGTCGGTTTTCGCCCAAAGCAGCAAGAATAGTAGCTGGTGTTGCACAAAGATGCCTCCAAAAGGAACCAACAGAAAGACCAACCATGAGAGCCATTGTTGAGAATCTCAAAATCTTAATAGATATGCAGTACCCTCGTTGGTTCCCACTGCATGAGCCAGCCGCTGTGTACAGAAGGCAACTGGCAAAATCACCAAGTGTCGACGGTATCAGTTCCAGTTATGGACGTAGTTTGGGTTTCTCTCCGCCGTGGCTACCATCAATCAGAGCATCTACTTCACATCCTCCAAGATGGTCTTCTGTTCCCGTAGCGCTTCCTCCTCCTCTTGCTCCTTCCTCCAATGTCATTACTGAGGAGATCATTAGGGAGGAAAGTACAAAGCAATCATCCTCAGTATCAGAGAAAGCTTAGTTTTGTAGGCAATTAAATTTCTCTATTTTCATTTTTTTTTTATTGAATTCCCAGTTTAGTCAATAAATTTGTAAGTGTGGAACATTTTAGTTCCTTCCTGAATTTTTCAGTGAATTTTAAAATTGAAAATCTTCAATCACATTAGTCTTTGGAGATGAAATTAAGAAACAAATTAACAGATCCAAAATGACTAATGTGATTAAAAATAATAAATTTGAATATCATTTTAGAACTTTGGTCATTTTAGGGACCAACTTGTATCAGGGCTTCAATTTTATGGAACAAGTTTGGTATTCACTAGATAATGTTTTGTTTTATTTTGGCAATAAAATTTGGGTGTGTCTAGGGTTGATATGATCTACATCATAGAAACCTCATATAGGGGATAAACCATGTAGTTGTTATGCCTTTTCGTCTATAAGCAAAATGCAGAGAGCTAAAATATTTCATGGTTTCGAACACTTTGCTACTTCTATGCTCAACACGATTACACCCACAACCTTTCCTAATTCTAATTATGGATAATCTAAAGTATGTGTATGCGTTAGCTTTTGTGTTTAAAGAACTATATACTTTGAACAATAAACTCTAGTAACTTTTGTTTAGCTTAGATTCATGAATTCTAAATACCAAAGCATGTTTTCCAGATATGTTTCCTTGAAAAATATGTGTTCGGTTTTGAGCTTAGAAAATTCAAACATTAAAACTAGAGCTTCTTTTTATTGAGTTTCTAACTACTTCAAATATTTTTGTGGCATTTGGTTGGGAATTTTAACTCTTGAGTTTCTAACTACTTCAAATATTTTTGTGGCATTTGGTTGGGAATTTTAACTCCTTTGCTTGGATAAGTTACGAATGAGTATTTGGAGAATTTTTCCTACACTAAGTTAGGTAGAACTTTTTTATTTATCAAAGTTATTTAGTTTGAGACAAGTAAATTATTTTACACTTTTTCTTGAGAAGAACTCATTTTTAGTGCGAGATTCATTTTATTTATATAAAACTTATCTAATTGTTCAAACAAAATCAATTTGTATATCTCAAGATTTTTTTTTTCCTAGACACGTTGAAACTAAGAATCCAAACCAAACCCAACTTTTTCGACTCAAATAAGAGAAATACTTGAGTCTACCAAATAAACCTAATAATCCGAACCAAAGCCAACTTTGGTTTAAGTTTGACTCGAATAAGAGAAATACTACTTGATTCCAAAAGATTGATTTGGGTCGGATTTTCTTGAGCCTTTTCCAAACTCGTCAAACAGAAAGGTGATTTGCCTCAAATCGAAGTATGCTAGCAAAACACTCTTTTGAATACACATTCTCCTATTGATTAAAATTCATGAGTCACCTCAAATTTATGTGGAGTACATGATTTAAACTCATTGTAAGTTTTAATCAATAGGAGGGAATGTGTTATAAGCCCTGTAGTCAGGTCCCTAAATCATGTAAACCCTTATTCCTAGCAATTTCCAAATAGCCACTTTCAACTTTGTTACCATGTTTACTCAGCAAATTAATGAGAGTTAACATTTAAAAGATGACAAACAAAGCTTATTAAATCTGTAAAATTGTTTCTTTGAACTCAACAAACGTAATAAACAAATACTATCAGATGTATTAATGTATTACCATGGCAAGAAGATGCTTTACTTCAACTCCTTGCCTCACACTGGTGTACAACCTAAAACATAAACTTCAGCATTTTTAGCTTCTTATATGTATAGTGGGAAATTTCACAGTTAGGACAGAAAAAAATTATAGACATCCCTATCAAACCTCTTGTAATTTTATAGCCTTCACGAGAGTTCTTGTATAATGGACTTCGGAGTAAAGGAAAGGGGAAAAAAATGAAGGCGGCAAGACTTCATGAAACTGACTTGTTTTGGTCTCTGTCTTGCTCGCTGTTTTCTTCAGGACTGCCTACCTGTTCATGAACTGCAGAAGCAGTACAGCAATCTTCATTTTGTCTTCCCTCACTCTCAGTGGTTGTCTGTGGCTGCACATTTGAAGCTGAGTTTGTTTGCTGCTCTGATATCAAGCTAGAGAGACCATTTTGCTTCAGGTATGTCTCCAATGGGAGATTCGCTTCTTCAAGAAGAGTCATCATGCTTAGAGTGTTTGGTCCAGCTTGCATGTCTTCCCGGTCCGGTTGGGAGTTCAAGTCTAATTGTCCCTTGGAAGCTTCAGCCACTTGGTCTTGACTCCTTGAGGCTAACTCGTTTGGCATCCTTGTATCATTCTCCGAACCATCAACTGGAGTTAAATGTCGAGTGGTGCTGTCTACTTCTGATTCATCATTGGTCCGCCATGATAGCTGATTTTTCTGAGCAATCTCAGCTTCGCGCTCAGATTGACGTTTCTTCTTTCGCATCATCAGGGTTTTAAACCGACGTTTAACTGTCAAGCACACGTTACAGGTGCATGAAGGTTTGTGTTTGCCCTTCCCACTTGGTGGCTGGATACAGACAATGCAGGAGCATCCAGGTCTATGACGAGGGTGTTTTGTAGTGGTCACGACTGGTGTCCTGCCAGAGTCACTTGTATCATCTCCAAGTACTGCAGCATTGGCCAAAGCATCAAGACCTTCACGTTCCAGAGCTGGCCTCTGGCTTGCCGCTGCTAGTCTTTGTTTCTTGAATTCTATTCCAAAATGATGGATTTAAAATGTTTTAGGGAACAAGAATTGTTTTTTGACTTCTAGGGGACAAGAATTTGTTGACATGAAAAACATTTCAACATCCACATATGATAGTCCCAAAATAACCATCATTGATCATGCAGCATAATTTGGGATCATGGATTTGAAAATTTCATTCAGAACAGATAATTTGTTCACAAAAGCAACAGCTCTAAGGTAGCAACACCATATAATATAAAGTGTTACTGCCCTTCACATTCTTGTCATATTGGTAATAAACAGTCAATTCTTTCAAGTGGAGGCTCATAAGATTATCTAGAGCTAAAACTGTTAATAAATATACTAGGATGGCATTGTAAAACTCATTATGCATCAGTTTTGATAAATTTTTCAACAATACAAAATGGATATATATCATACATAAAAAGTTAATACTTATAAATTATAACCATCCTGTGCATATTTTTCCTTTCTGAATTTTTACATTCTTCTAATGCACACATGTGAACTAAATATATAAACAAGATATTAATGAGGCTTTTGCATTATTCAGTTGTGCGTATTTCCTTTTAAAGACAACAAAAAAACCAAAAACAAGGGCATAGTCATAAAAGCTCATTAACAAAAAGCATCTGGATCTGAATTTAAAAGGAAAGTAATTTGGACCCCAATCTATCAATGCCCTTAAGAAAATCTATTACTAAAATATGATTAACTTTTACTTTTATTTTTTTGGTATCTATGCTAGTTATAAATAAATGTAAAAGATCGGGGATCAAATTTCTAAGTAGCACTCTCCCGATAAAGCAGACATATTTCAAAACCATCTGTAACTACCAATAGGAGAAACTCAGAAAAGAAGCATAGTTTCAAATGTAACGAAAGCTAATTGAAGATAGAACCATTTTCTACAAGTATTTATTAATCAGCAATAACAAAAGCACTGCATGTATTTAAATTAAAGCAAGAAACAGAGAAATACCCTTGTTCATTCTCAAAAGATTATCCAGTTCCCTTGGGTTCAATTCATTAGGAGCAGCACATGAACACCTGCTGACATGACAGCATTGCAGAAGCACAAAGGTCTTATTAAAAACATGTACAGGCAATAATAATATTACAATAGAATCATCTAGTCACCTGCTTTGATCCCAAAAATTCTCCATACATGTCCACATAGAGGGAATAAGTACATCAACTGGTAACTTTCGCCATTTTAAGCAACTATCACATTGTGCCCACTGCTCATTTATCCTGTGGTACAGTCATACTCCAAATTATAAGACAATTGAAATGTATAAGATCCTATATTTGTAGAACTTTCTAATAGAAATCATAAAGATACATGCAATGAAAAGAAAATGAAACTAATGCAAACATTCATCTTACCCATTAGATCGTACCACAAATATACTCTTTTTTCCAAAGACTGGAGGCTCCTGCATGAATAGAAGTAAGTTCACCCTTAAGCAAGATCTTATACAGGCTGTATAAAAAATTTCATATTATCTTCCTAGTCCAGACTTCTCTTCAAAAGTAAAGCTATTAAGACCTAAAAATCAATTTAAATATTTTAGTTTTATACGTTATCTGCACAAACTTAATCACTTCCATGTGTGAAGCATAAATGGAGCAGACATGCTCAAATTTGCAACTGCAATACGGGTTAGTGTATATGTATTTAGAGACTAATGCAAGTAAAGTCCATGTTATAAAAATGAGTGAATTATATGGACAATGTTGGTTTGATGGCTGGGGTGATGTTAAGGAGTGGAGTGAAAAGGAAGTTGAGGATTCGATCCCCACTCATAACATAATAATGCTAACAATCCCTAACAATATTAACATTGGCCGTTTAAAAAGAAATGGACAACCTATTTGGAGGTTTAGGAAACCTACTATGAAGCAGAGAGACTCCTCGGGTTACATGTACCCAGGTGTCAAACACTCCTATAACACTTGTACGACACATGTCGGATAACTCAAAGAAGTGTCCTAAAAAACTTCTTTTTTTCTTTGCTTCGACATTCCTCAGGCACGCCATAGACTCATTTACAGTAATAATTAACACCCATAAAAAATTAAAACAAAAAAAAAGTTTTCAAAGTAATAGATTATTAATTTAATTAGGCATTTAAAAAATTAATTGCATATGCATGTCTTTTCACATGCAAATATCTCCATCTTCTCAACATTCAAGAATAATGATCAATGAGTGGGTTAAAAGTCTTAAACTTGATTACCCTGTTTTCAAATTTTCTATGGGTGATGGAAAGATGAAAGTGAAATACTAGTATATCTTGTTTTAGATTTTTTTCTAATAAAATAAATTGCTCAACTTAGATGCGGATATAAATTTTCATTCTTAAATTAGATATTTGATAACACGAAAAATACATAATGATTTTGACTAGATTCACATGCATTTTAGTGTCAATTTTATATGTTTTTATTGTGTTATGTTGGTATGTTGTGTTCGATTCACATGCATTTTAGTGTCAATTTTATATGTTTTTATTGTGTTATGCTGGTATATTGTGTTTGTTTCAGGTATTTATCAAGTAGGAGCATCCTACGAGAAAACGAGACGAAAACGGCAAAAAAATGGAGAAAAGACCAAAAATCTGAACTCATGGCGCTTGCCATGACGTGGGAGCCATCTGCACCACCAAAAGACAAGAAAAATCAAGAATCAACACTTTTACACTCATGGCGTTCGCCATGGACCTTAAATAGCACGTTCTCCACTTTTGTACTCATGGCGTTTGCCATGGACCTCAGAAACCCAAAAATCTGTCTACCAACAACACTACTTTGAAGGCTTCTCCCACGTTTTCCATTACTCATACATGCTATGGGGAAGTTAGTACTCGAAAATCCTCCTATAAATAGACCTTGGACTCACATTTTCAAGGCATTCAAGCATAGTTAGGCACAAATATTAGTTCTTAAAAACTTCAATTTCTCACATCAAGGGATTGTAGCAAAAATTAGTGTTAAGTTTGATGTTTATTTTAAAGCAAGTTTATCTTCCAGCATCTAATATCCAGCAAGGTTTTATTCCTGCATCGAATTAAAGACTACGTCTGGAGCAAATTGCAGTTTAATTTACTTTCTCTTTCAATTATTCATTTATGTCATTGTTATTGTTTGAAGCTTTTACATGTCATTTTTACTAAATAGCCTTTAATCTTACTTGGTTACTATTTTAATTGTCAATTTTATATGTTGTTAATCTTATCTTATCATTTTAATTATCAATTTATATTCCATTGTTATTACTACTTCCATGAACATGTTTAATTTGCTTATATTCTATTTATGTTTGTTCGCGTATCCATTATGCTAGCATGAATTAAGAGAGCCCAGGATGTGAGGACCGTCGTTCCGACAGAACTCGGTAAATTTTATCGGCACTGATTTTTAATATTAATTTATTTTTCCAATTCTGAATTTTAGTTTTTAAAGTTAAAAAGCTTTGCACAACAGCGAAAGCACTCAGATACCAGTCAACAGCGCGATAATGTGAGACTGGTATCCAATCGTAAAATTTAGATTTTTAATTTTTAAAAACAGCGATAGCGCTTTATTAATTAATTAAGACTTATCGGTTTTTAAAAATTGTTTCAAAATTGTAACTTGCAGAGCGACAACATGGCAATTACGGTTCCAAAACATAACACGGCCTGCGCGAAAGTGAGTAGTGTTTTTAAATTAGTATTTCCTCTGAAAAATATTTTAAAACCAAACGAAATGCCGAATTTTATCTGAGTCCCGAAGGTACACCTAAAATCACATTTTGGTCTCTGTTAAATCAATTCTTAATCTAGTTATTTTTAATTTCGTTCTCAAACAAAACAAAGTTTCGATAGCCTTAAACTTACAACGCGACAATAGACTACAGTAGGTTGACATGGTCTCTGTGGATTCGACATCTTTTATACTATAACTAGCATTTCCGTGCACTTGCCGATACCCATTAATATTTTATAAACGATTGTTCATATTTTATTTAATTACAATATATGTATGTTTCAGTGTTGGTGTCCTATGTGCTTTGACATTAGCAATGTTGACATGATCTGTGTGCTTTGACATTAGCAATGTTGACATGATCTGTGTCAGGGTGTGTGCTTCATAGTATTGGGAAAAATCAAAATCCCACATAGGTTAAACATAAGATCTAACAAATATTTATAAGGACACTCACTTTATAAATTGGTTTTGTAAGGATGAGTTAAGTCCAATATAAAAATCTAACATGGTATCAGCCTATCAAAACACTACTACTGTTGGACTTCGGGAAGATGTATTTGGAGAAACTCAAATCTCACATAAAAGATATACAAGGCCTGATAAAAATTCATAAAGCGATGTCCCTCTTACCTTACAAGTCGATTTTGTAAGAATGAGTTAGACTCGATATAAAAACTTAATATAGTATCAAAGTCTATCCAAGAATTGTTGGGCTACCTGCAATCAGTTTTCTGTTATCCAGTCACTCGAGTCACGCCTCAGATATCCCGTCTAAGACTTGAGGGAGTATGTTAAGCATCCCAAATTGAATGAGATGGGCTGAACATATGTTTATAAGTGGTGGTATTTTTTGCCTTAAAAGTTAGTTTTATAAGAATGAGTTAAGTCAATATAAAAACCTAAGAAGGTATCAAAGTCTATCCAGAATTTGTTTGTTGGGCCACCTGCTATTTGACCACTTGAGTCACACTCCAAATGTGTCTTGGGTGTTAATAGTCTCGCATTTGGAAGAAAAAACATTGATGAGAGATGGTCTCAATATATGTTTATAAGTGGAGGTAGTCCTCATCTTACATAGCTAATGCATTCAACCTTTCAGGTTTCAAAGTTACACAGGCACACATCCCATACCCATCAACTGTTCTTTGGGCACACATCCCTTACCCATCAACTTTTTTTTTTGACACACATCCCATACCCATCAACTGTTCTTTGGGCACACATCCCTTACCCATCAACTTTTTTTTTGGGCACACATCCCTTACCCATCAACTTTTTTTTTGACGTTATGTCAGAAAAGTTCCTAATTTTAGACAGCAGATGAATGCATTAATTAACTGTTCAGAACCAACAAAAGATTCTATATATTTTTGCCTCAAAGTTGGTGTCTGAGTTATAACTCGACTCCAACAACTCTATCTCTCACATACAATCATATATTTGTGTGTATGAGAACTTGAATGACATAATTTCATAAATAATTACTACTTGTAAATAGTAAACTCACTTCATATTCTTCAAATATGTGATCCTCGATCATGACAACACTTGGTTTAACTTCTGGCGGTGGACGGAGTAAATCCTGAGCCTCTTCCCAAGTAAGTTTCAGCTCCAATGCATCCTGGCTATCAATAAGTAACCTCTTACTTTTTGACCCAATATTTCTGGTTCTTTTCTTCTCGGGAACCAGCACGGGTGGTAAAGACAACGCATCTCTCTTCCTGCTTTCGGGTGTTTCTACATTATGCCAATCCAAGTCACCGCCAACTGAGTTCCATTTCTTAGACAGCGCATTTAGGTGGGTTTCTGAACATCCCTTTTGAGACTGAAGAAGGCCACGGTAACCACTTAATATAGGTATATTCTCATAAACACCAGAATAGGAAGTTTCACTTGACTGAGAACCATTGGGCATATTAGACAGAAAAGTTTCCTGCTTAATAGGTAATTTAATATCGATTCAATAAGTTTGAATTTCCTAAATGAGCTAAAAGTGGATATTACCTGTAATGAAGCAGAATTCGTTGCCTTCCTAAACCCCATTATAAGTTTCCCCTCAGGGTCCATACGGCTAAATGTTACTGCAGCATTTTTTAGAAAAGTTTATATTCTTTGTGGTCAAGTTTGTAGATAAATACAATTTATTTAGTAAAAAAGAAAACCTTCATGTAACAAATAAAACATAGTAACAGTACAGAAATCAACTGATTCTCATAAAAGAGAACCCATTTGAACATATCCCCAATTCCCAATCCCCAAAACAAAAGCAAATTTAGTTTGACATTTTTGGCACTTCGTCCAAATAGCAACAAAAAAGTTATCAATGAAAGTAGAGAAACTTCATAAAATTCCTCAGAAGACAAAGAAAGGAAACCAGAATTCATAAAAAATATTTGCAATCATTGTCTAAAGGCAGCATAACTTCTAGGTATGATTAATGAATTGTAAGAATATTGAGCCAGGAATTTGCAGAGATTCTGATTGCCAACAGAAATTCGTAGAGCCAAAGAAAAAACAACTATCAGTCTTCAAGTTTAGAATGTGTAATTTAACAAGTTCAGTGGTTCTCTCACTAAAACATACCAGTATCACCAGCTTGCAGTTGCATAGACTGAATGCATGGGGTTACACCTTCTAAAACATACATCCTACTGTTGTTATTTGGCCAAAATCTAAATTGAAACATCCATTCTTTTCCTTTCACATCTTGGATTCGCAGAGGAAGGCCCTCAGGTTGAGATATAGGAGGGAAATATGCCTGCATAATCCCATCTTCTTTCAGTTCTACGAAATTACATGACTCATCAAGAAAAATAAATTTTAATATAATAAATTAATAATTGGTTATACAAAATGAAAACACTAAATATAAATTCAACAAATAAGCTAAAAAAATTTACTTCAGCACATGCTTTTGGTAGAACCAAGCGACCAATTCGACCAGCATCACTTGCGCTAAGCATCTTTTCAAAGAGTGGCACAATGGTGGAATTTGGACTTGAACATACCATAAACCATGGTTAAGGAAATATATTTCCGAGGCAAATAGTAATTGTCAGAATAATAACAAGCTATCATCTTTCAAAGTATCTTGACAATAATTAGCAATTTAAAGAACTAATTACAATGTTGGATACTCTCCCGATATTTGCTGCAACTCTTGATCTGTAATTCTAGGCCAATATCGTGGAAGCAACTGATTCCTTCCTCGTCCTTCAGCAGGAGGCCTTGCTATACGAATCTGGGACACCATGCCTGCATTACCTTCTAAGCCTGGAGAGAGAGTTGGCCTAGGGGGTCTAGGTAAAAGATGGCGAGATCTAGACGCCAATAGAAGTGGAGGTGACATTTTTCTTTGATCCCTTTCATCAACAAGGGCATTATGAAAGGGATTAAAATTTACCAAAGGGGTAGCAAGGGTCATACTCAAATTTGTCTGTGCCAGTGATTCATATATATCTTGCATGTTATCTGCCTTACAGTTCTCTACTTTGGCAGTCCTAGATGATCCATTTGACTCAAGATGAAATTGAGATGTCGAAGTGTTACCAAATTCTCCAACAGAATGTAAAACTGCTGGTTTGATTTCTGTAGAAGGTCCATCCATATCAACATTGTGAGGTTTGAACCAGCACCTGAGACCGTCATTTTCTGAATAATTCCCAACTTGCATATCCTTCACATTTAATTGGTCAGCCAGAGATATGCACTGCTGCGCATTGACATGTTTTTCCTTTGCTGTTCCAGATTCATTAGGCTTTTCATTACTAGCAATCTGTCAAGTAAGTTATCATAGCCAATTTTGGGAACATGCAGTTAGACTTGAAAATTGAAAATTGAAAATTGAAGCTTAAATACAAAGTAACCATATAAGCAAGAAGTGACAACATATATATGGAAGAACAGATCTGAAATGCAGAGATCAGATCACCATGATTTTTTACTAAGATCATAGACCATTCAGTTTACTCTCCAAATGCCAATAAATAATTAACTTACGAATTAAATGATTTAAAATTAGGAAAGAAAAAAAAAACTAAGTTTAAGACCTTCTATCTATCATTGTAAATTATTGTCAAATGAAAATCGTAAATATTGATGTGTTCGGTTAACACAGTGGCTAGTTATATATGGAACATGGTGAAGTGAGCTTACAGGTTGAAGTCCTAAATTACTTGCACAGGTTGTACAGCTTACACCACTAGTATCAAGTATTTCAATCTGAGACCTTGAAGCAACGCATCCACAGTGGAGACGCTGCAGATAATAGAACAAATATGATCGTTTAGTATATCATAGCAGGTTGAGATACTAAAATTGTGGGTAAAGAAAACGGTTTTACACACACTCTACCTTGCCACATAAAGTGCAGTCTCTCCAACCAGAATCTTTCGCATGGAACATATCACAAAACTCTGACTTCTCATAAGCAGAACTAGAGTAGAAGTAGAGAAAAACCCAGAGTAAGAATATGAACATGAAGTTGTTTCTAGGTTTTGTCCAACTTCAACCAAGTAAAAAACATTAGCATCCTTACTAATCATAGTCAATACATAATCTAAAGGACACATTTTAACATTTTATCAACTTATGCAGACATGAATGTGTGTGAAAATTATAACAGTAACTTCTCCTGATATTTTCACTATTTCAATAACCATATTGTCCAAAAAAAACCTTCTGAGATATCAAATGATGACATCCCATGATTATTAAACATGATTTGAACAGTGAAATTTCAACTCCAATCTTCGAAATCATACAATCAAACAGATCAGATAATTACCTGGCTTTTCTTTTGTTTTAATTTAATGTAATTGTCCATTTCGGAAAATCTTATGCTATTACTTCGTTTGTATCACCAATAATTATTTTTGGCTCATTTACTCAGAATATATCAGGATAACAAATATGTTAAGAGCATAAACACGTGCCAAGAAAAACGTTTCAAACTATGATTCGCAGCCACAATCTTACCGGTGATGAGATCAACAACCGCACCAAAACACTTCTTTAAAACAAAACAAAACAAAAAAGAAAGGAAAAAGTTAAAGCGCAAACATAGCCACACTATGAAAAATCGGCAGAAAAAAACAAAGTAGACAAAGGTCAAATCGGTAGTTATAAGAAATTAACAATGAACAATTAATTCATAAAAAAAATCATTAATCAAATAATTATTACTATTCCGTCATAATTCACTGTTTGATCCGTACAATTTCATAACAACTCTACGCCGTCAAGCGCATTAATTTTCAACTCACGCACGCGAATCAATTTGGAATCTAGAGAATCATTACCCGCAGTTATCGCATAGATCGGCGAATTCACCGGATCGAAGTATCCAACCTTTACGCCACCGAATCGACGTGGAAGCAGCACACAAACCGTTCATGCAGCACTTTGACTCCATTTTCAACTTCAATTCAACAAGTTTCACTACAAAACAAAATTCAGTAAAAACCCTAACAATTGAATTAACTAACTAACTAAACAAGTTCAAAAATAGAAACATAAAATCGAAATCGAAAAAGTCGAATAGATACCAAATCGAACAACAAACCTTGCTCGCGTCGCCGGAAGTATGCAAGGAAAGTCCCGTTCGCCGGAGGTTAGGGAAATAAGGCGACGCCGCGCGTGTGGGTGCTGTTTAGGATTTTCATTTGTGTGGCGGAATAGAAAGGCGAGTGTTGATTGGAAGTTCTTCGGAATCTAACCGGAGGAGGAGTGGTTAAGGAGGGATTGGTTCGACGGTGACCGGAGAGAAAGTTGGAAGAAAGAAAGAGAGGGTGTGGAACATAGAGAGAAGGCGTGTGCATGCAGAATGAAAAGAAAAAGAGTAAGAAAGAAACACTAAAATGCATGCACGATGAGATAGATGATTATACTTCAAGACTTGGCCAACTCCACCACTTGCTTCTAAGAATTTTTTAACTATTTTCTAGTTAGTTTATGAGTACTATCTTTTATTATTTTTTGAAATTTTAAGTAATATTTTTGACATCATTATAGATGTCATTGTTGTTTTTTTAATATATGTAATGAGGAATGCGAAAAAGAAAAACACTCAATAAGGTTGATAATTAAGATTCTTTGAAATTTGAGGCTTCTTTAAACTAACTATTTGAGAAAAAAATATGTGAAATATTTCTATAAAAAAGACAATTATGATCCATAAAAGAAAAAAAGAAAAACACAAACAGAGAAACACTTAAATTTTGAGTTAGTTTTTTTTAAGGAAGATAATTATGATAAGCATACAAGAGAAATCTCATAACAATTTGTGTCTACTGGTTGAGTAAACATTATCTATATGTTTCTTTCACAAATAAGAATCTACAACATGGAGATATCAAATTTTTCTATCTTGTAGGATATCCATTACTAATTACCTATATATAATTTATTTAATATGAATTGAACTTCATTCACGCTCTAAATTGGATGGTAAAGTTCTTATTAATAAAACATAGTTTACTTACCACATTGTGTCACATCACATGGTAGCATCTCCGGCCCCTATTTTTATATTATATAGCGGAAACTCTTTGTTATTGTGCAGGTTTATGTCACTTAATGTTTTTTTTTTTTTTTTATGAAGATTAAGATCAAATGTCAAGTTTAATACAGGGATGACAACGGGGCGGGTTTAACTATACTTGCACCCGCTTTTATGTAATAGATCTGCTTCTGCTTCCAAATTTAATCGGGGATAAATATTTACCACCCAGACCCGTCCCAGCAGAGAACGGGTGCACCGGCACCTGCCCCGCCTCCACCTGCAAAAATTTTTTTTTTTAATTATAATAAAAATTAATAATTTCATTAAAAAATTGATTATTTTAATAAATTATTTAATTAAAATTTTAATTAATAAGTGAATATTAACTTGATTAATTTGATTATTTTAATTGCAATAAGGACATTAATAATTTAATAAAAAATATAATTAATAAATAAATATTAAAATAAATAAAATAAGGAAATTAAAGTAAAATATATTTGGAGGTGGAGCGGATGCGGGCGGGTCTTAGTGTCTACCCACACCCACAGTTAAGAACCGAGTTTCACCCGCACCCGCACTCAATTAAATTGGATTTCCTCCATTAATTTCGGGGTGGTTCCGGATTTGTTTGTCATCCCTACGAAGGAATCAAAACAGCATTCAAGTACATATGACTAAAAGATGGCATTCAAGTGAAGATTTATGAAGATTCTATGTAAAATGTACATGTTGCAATTCATTACCATTACTTTCAATTTCTCATGAGAACTCTTCTTCTACATCTTAAAACTCTAGCATATGCATTAAAACATGTTTTTGAAATGGTTAAAGTTTTTACAAATTTCAAAAATCATTTTTCACAATTTTTTGAACCTGCTGTCGAATACAGTGGACTTGTATTCGAATATAGTTGCCTTCATAACTTAATTCTAGGCAAACTATAGTCGAATACAATAGTGGTGTATTCGAATACAAGTGACAAACAGAAGCAAACATAATACATTTTGACTTAACTCTAGTCGAATACGGCCATCTGTATTCGAATACAGTGTATAAAAATTGAATTTTTTAATAGTGGAAAGTCTGTATTCGAATACACACATGTCGTAGTTGAATACAGTTGTGAACTAATGCAATGTTTCATGTTGTAACTTTGACAGATCAGTGCACATGTTCATGTAATGTCTGTGAACGATTGCCATTAATCGAAGGGGTGTTCTAGGAAATATAAATAGCCTTGAACTCCACTTAACACAGTTACCTCTTTGTCAAAATTTCAAACATAATTCAACTTCTATTTTCATATTTATCAAGTGCATTATTCAAAGATTTCATATCAATTAGAGAGTTCTGCACTTGAATTTACTTGTATTGGATTGTGATTTTGTACGAAAGGAGAAAATATACTTCATTGTAATTTATCTCTTGATTAAAGTAAATATATCAATTGTAATTCTTATTCACAAAGTGTTGCGGTTGTAAGAATAAAGTGGTTGTTGTATTCATTGTTGTAGTGGGGTGTTATCTTAGGGTATATTATTAGAAGTTTGTCATAAAAGTTTTAAGGTGAGGCTTGTACATTGTCTAACAATATTAAAATCTCTTATAGTGTGTAAGAGGACTGAAGTACTCTCTATCTGGGAGGGGAATTAGTATACTTCATTGTGTTCTTTATTTTTTTCCTGTGTTTTATAACTTTATCGCCATAACTTTAACTAAAAATATGAGACACTCTTGTCTCTACAAACTAGAATTTTTAAAACACCTAATTCAATCCCCCCCCCCCCCCTCTTCCCCCTATTAGGAGCACTCTAAACTTATAGTTGGCATAAACGTAGGTTATAGGTAACATGTTCCTAAAGATCCAGAAATGGCTTCCACAAATCCAATTTTTAAAGATGGTGGTAGCAACAATAAGCCTCCTTTGTTATGTGGTGAATGCTTCGATTTTTAGAAAATCAGAATGAAAGCACATCTTAAAGCACAAGGAGATGAAGTTTGAGATGCTGTAGAAAATGGCTTGTTTGTTTCTACAAGTGTTGTCAATGGCGTTGGTACACCCAAAATCAAAATTTTGTGGAATGAAGATGATAAGAAAAAAGTTCTCTACGACAAGAAAGTGATAAACTTGCTTCAAGGAGCCCTAAGCATTGATGAATTTTTTTTATAGGTTTCTACATGCACAACGACAAAAGAAATATGGGATACCTTAGTAGCCACTCATGAATGAACCATTGAAGTAAAAAGATTAAGATTGAACACTTTATGTCAAGAATATGAATTGTTCAGAATGCAGCTCAGAGAATCAATCCTTGATTTGCAGAAAATATTTGTGTACTTGACAAATCACTTGATGGCTTTTGGTAATACTTTTTTTTATCAATGAACTTAATCTTAAAGTACTTATATCTTTGACTAGGGCATGACAATCAAAAGTGACGACGATATCAAAAAAGAAGAGTCTATCCAACATGACTTCTGCAACATTGTTTAGAAAAATCCAAGAGATGAGAATGAACTTGGAAGACTAGAGAAGCATGGCACTCAAGAGAATCAGTCCAAAAGTATTGCATTAAAGGTTAATTCAAGAGAAGATTTTGAAGAAGATGTTCCGGATGAAAATGAGAACTTCATTTTCTTGTAAATAGGTTAGGTAAGTTTTCAATAATGATAAATCCTTAAACTTCTCAAAACGAAAGAAATTTTTCAGGAAGAAAAAGACTTCTACGTCAAACCAAATTTCACTTGTTTTGAATATGAAAAGCAAGAACATATTAAGGAGGATTGTCCAAAACTTACTAAGAAAAGTGGTTTTAAAGGGAGAAAGGAATCAAAGTTCAAAAAGGCCTATATTGCATGGGATGATAATGAAGTGAGTTTATCATTCGATTTGAAAAGCGAAGAATGCGTAAATATTGCATTGATGACATCACATTATTCTGATGAAGAAGAAGATGAGGTTAATAATCAAAAAAATTCTTATGATAATGATGATCAAGGAGCAATAGATGAATTACTCAATGAATGTAAAATTTTGTACAAAACGGTGTTAACATAAAAGAAACAAATCTCATCTCTTGAAAGAGAAAATTGACACAGTGTAAAAAGATTTTGATATAGAAAAACAGAATTATTTTGATAAAGAAAAACAGAATTCTACATGCAATGAGTGTAATTCACTTTCTTTTCAAATTGTCCAATTAAAAAAAGTTATTGAAAGATATGAAAAGGGACAAATTGGATTGGAAGGTATCCTTAGTAGACAAATATATTCCAATGACAAAAGTGGACTTGGTTGTTCAAGATTTGACAAGCCAAGTACTAGTAAAACTATCTTTGTTAAGGAAAGTAACCAATCCAATAAAGAGAAAATGAATAAAGTGCAAAATATTCATCATCATTCTAAGAAAATATTTGTTCGAAATTTTTTTATGTTCCTAGATATAGAAGTAACGTTGTTCCTAAATCTTTCTATTGTGGTTTAAAAGGTCACACACCTAATGCTTGATATGTAAGGAATTTTAGTATTGCTAGTGGCCATTATATGTGGATCAAGAAAAAAAACTAATTATCAAGGACCCAATGCACGTTGGGTACCTAACAAATCTTAATATTTTTTTATAGATTTGCTTGAAGACCATTACAAATCTATGGTATCTTGATAGTTGTTGTCTTAAGTACATGACCAAAGATACAAACAAATTTTTATCTCTAGTTCTAAAGGCCAAGGGATATGTCACATATAAGGACAACAACAAAGGAAATATTCTTGGTATAGAGACAAAGTTGGATCACCATATTTCATAACTATTGAAGATGTACTTTATGTTGAAGCACTAAAGCACAATCTTCTTAGCATAAGCCAACTTTGTGTCAGAGACTTCAAAATAAATTTCACCAAAGATGAA